GTGTGTGTGTGTGTGTGTGTGTGTGTGTGTGTGTGTGTGTGTGTGTGCGTGTGTGCGTGTGTGCGTGTGTTATCCAACGGAGATGTCCACCCATGACTCCCCACAGGGTGAACTGGAAAGTCACGGGATTTTCATCTGAGACAGCATGCTTTCAGAAACAGAATACCTTGACATTTCGGGGAATATGATTGTTTGCTGTTTTTAGGGGAGTGAAGAAGAAAAACATCAGTTTCCCCTCAGTTTGTTCAGTCGACTGATATATCCGAGACATTGCACCCTAGCTTACAGCAGCACGGAGACTGGAAGCATCTAAGACGGGTCCATCCTCGCTTAAATGAACTATGCAATCAACATTACATTGCTCCCTCCAAACTTAAAAAAGGCTTGGTTGTGGGCAAGTGCGTGTGTTTACAGGGGAGCTTTGGTATTTTTCAACCTTTGCAACCCATGTTTCGTGTCTGACTAACGGGGACAACAATTTTGGAAATTGGCTGGTTCTTGAGCGAGAGTTACTGTAGTTCCACAAAAAGTGCTTGATTTTGCCACTGACAGGCTCAGATTGTTATCATTGGTGTCTGACAACATAATGGAAAGGACCCCACAGAGAAGCAGAGAAGGAGTCCCCCCCCCACACACACACTCTAGCTCCTCGTCCGCTCTTCAATTTACATGAGCTTCTCATCTGTAAACTCTGCCACAAATAAATAAAGGCGACCATTGACTTCTCCTCTCTCCAACTTACTCACGTTTCTGCTGTTGTAGGATTTCAGAAGGAGACTCCTGTTCTCTCAGTGTCAGTGGCAAAAACAGGCACTTTTAGTAGACACGCTGTACATTGAAGCTGTGCAAGTTCTCCCCCAATGCTGAACCAAATTTCAGAAATTGTTGTCACTTAAACACAAAAACATTTAAAACCCTCTCGGTTTATAAAGAATAGCAGATATGTTCAAGGATATTAATAATGATTCGGAAAAGTTTTGTGATCAAGTGAAGAATCTTCTTTTGACATTACAATTTGTGTGCTGCATTGACCTCAGATCAGACATTTTGTCTTGTTTTGTGAGCCTGAACCTGATGAGGATTATGGAACAAGTATTGTAAACCGAAGCAAAACTCAACCATCTCAACCCCTCCACTCCTTTGTAAATGTCCCTCTCTTCTCTGGCCTGCTGTGTTTTCAGGACTGGTACGAACACGGTACGCCTGCTGTATTCTGGGTGTCAGGATTCTTCTTCGCCCAGGCCTTCCTCACAGGCAGCCAGCAGAACTATGCCAGGAAACACACCATCCCTATTGACTTGCTCGGCTTCGACTTCGAGGTCCTGGATGAGATACAACACCAACAGCCTCCAGAGGATGGTAGGATACTAACGGGGTTAATGAGATAGGGCGAGAAAAGGGGTGTTTCTAGTGAAAGAAGGATGGTACTAGAATAGCTTTAGACAGGATAAAAACGCCTCCATTCGACACACCATCTAACAGTTTAATGAAGGTATAGATAAAAGACGGCAGAATGATGGAGAGCACTGGAGGGAAAAAAGAGATTAAAGAGGGTACGAAGGGATGAAAAGTGAGGTTTCAAAGCAGAAAGTGAAATAGGAGGAACATACAGTACGCAGAGGATGAAAGAGAAGAAACAAACAGATGGAAACTGACTGTATGTTAAAAAAGGCAGAGTGTAAAGTAAGTCAAAGCCTCCCTGCCTCTCCCTTATACATGCAGCCTTGCGTCAGCCCCTCGCTATGCCTCCAGCTCTGCTGTGAGATTCTAAGTCCCATAAAGCCTCGCCCTCAATCAGACCCCAGCTGGGGCCCCATCACACCGACACAGCCTCTGCTGCCGAGCTACAAATCTGACAGTGTGTTTGTGCATTTGGGCGTGTGCCACTGACAGGATGCCGACAGTCGGTTATCTCTAAATCTCACCACCTTTCCTCCACCTATAAGGAGAGCTCACAAGCTTTAAGAAAAGACAGCGCTGCAGCACAGAGGTCTGCTCAGCTCGCTTTACGGAAAAGCCGACAAGCATCATAGTCCCAGGGTTGCTCCATAACTGGAGGTTATGAAAAGTTTTAATGTCATAGTATAACTAACCACTCCTCTTGTGCCTCTGAATTGTCTCCGGTTGTGTGTGTGTGTGTGTGTGACACTCAGGTGTGTACATCAGAGGTTTGTTTCTGGATGGCGCCCGCTGGGAGAGGACGACCAAACTTCTGGCTGAGTCCTACCCCAAAGTGCTGCATGACCCCATGCCTGTGGTGAGTGAGGAGCACGCACAGATACTGTACACAGACGGTGTCTATCGATTGGGACACGGGGGGCGGCCGTGGCTCAGGAGACAAGGGCAGGGTTGTCCATTAATCGGAAGATCAGCATGTCGATATCTAAACACTTGCAGTTGGTCTCAAAACATGGCACTTAAGTTGCTCAATTCGCCCAAAACTGACACGGACAATTAAAACATTGGTCTGTGATTGGATGTTTCTTGCTGGAATGCACCAAAGGAGTCGTATTTAACTACTTCCCTTTGGTTTTATTGTACACAGCACAGACTTGTTCAGTCAACTTTTTTTTATCAAAGAAACAGATTTTAGTTAGAGTTAAAGCTAGGGTTGGTAATCTTCTTCAAAACATTTTTTCTTCATCACTACATCATCACGAATCAAATGCGCTGACAAAAAAAGGAAAGAAAATGCAGAGTCATGAGGACTGTAATGAGCCGTTCAGTCATTGGTCCATTTGGTTTTGCATCAACAGAAGTGACACGAGACAGAGAAGCTAAGCACAACCGAACGCTGAATATGAAATTTTCAGGTGATCCAAAAAAACGTTACAATCAACTGTCGTGAGCTGAAAACACGCAGACAACTCACAGACCGAACAACGCCGTGGCAACGTGACCTGCCAATCACAATCACAAGGTTACACGCTAAAAAGCATATGCTGCTTTCATCGTTTACTTTCAATGGGACCATCATTTCCTAAAATAACATCATGTTGTATTAAAGAAGACTTGAAACTAGCGATCGTGTTGCATAACATATTCTTGCATAAACTTTGAGGGGGTTTATTGATTCTGCTCCTGTGAATCTCTCTGGGCGTCAGAAGGGAGGAAAGATAATATCTGTTTACATATCAAATTATAAGAAATGGGGCAGATTCCATCATTATTTAGCTTGTAAACTCCTACGAGCCAACTGTTGTTTTTTTGTAATCAGAGACCAGCATTGTGAGTCTCCAAGGAGAACATGATCAACAACCACCACACTGTAGCTGCAGCTCTGCCCAGGAGGATGTTCACAGCTCCTTGTTCTGTGGATGCAATACTGAGCAGCAGCTTCAGCACTTTCGTTTAAATACGTCGTGCCTGCAGGAAGCCCGGCTCCTTTCCTCATCCTTTTTATTAATTAACAGAGCTCGATATGGTATATGAAAGCCGACTGACAGAGGGATGGAACAGAGAGCGAGGACTGATCAAGTCTTTATTTTCCCTCTGTTCTCTCCTCTTCACAATGTATTCAGTGATTAGGAATAATGCACAACACTGAGTTTTCTTTGTTTGTTGAAATGTTCAGACATTTCAGGGCAAGTTATTAACAGGATCAGTTTTCTGACAAGAGCCGAACTTAATTAAAAATGTGCTTATTACACGTGTGTGTGTGGGGTGGGGGGGGGGGAATCACAACACAGGCTGGCTTTGAAATGCAAATCCTCACCGAAGCGCTGCTTATGGAACCAGATGAGTACTTTTCTGGCTGCAACTCAACAAACAGTTTTTGTTTTGTTTTTGTGGAGATGTTTTTTCGAGCGGCCCAGTTTATCCCTTTTGCATAACCAAGACTTCTTAATAGCCCGAGGGGACTCTTCCTTGTGAATGCAATTGTTTTATAAGTTTCAGTCCCCGGAGTTTCACATTTGAAAGTTAATGTTTGTTTCACGTCCTGACCTTTGAACCTAAAATACAATCTGATCTCTTCGCTTCTTTGACAACCATCACGAGAATGTTCAATTTTGTTCTTTGTCATAAGAGGGACAGAATTTCATTTGATAGTTTAATCATTCCTCTAGTCCCTGAAGGACAGTGACTATTTGCTAAAGCAGCTAATGGAGGTAGAACTGACATGTGGAAGCCAGTTTAAACTTTAAAGTCCCGTGGTTTGATCCTGTCTGCCTCACTGGTCCTCTCTCTCTCTCTCTCTCCTGTCAGATGTGGCTGAAGCCTCTCAAACGGCAGGACGTCCCCCAGAGGATGTGCTATGTGGTGCCCGTCTACAAGACCAGCGAGCGGCGCGGCACCCTGTCCACCACCGGCCACTCCACCAACTACGTCATCGCCATGACGCTCAACTCCGACGTGGCCTCTGAACACTGGATCAGACGAGGGGTGGCGCTGCTCTGCCAGCTCAACTCCTAGTCAGTCTCTGAGTGTGTCTCGATGACATGCGCTGACATGTCATGAAATAACACCCGGTCTCTCTTTTTACGCAGTACCTACAAATCTACATGAATAGACCGGTGACGGGTGTTAAGAATTAGGTAGCAGAGAACCGTTTTCAGAGATTACTACTTGTATAGGAGAGAAATGAAGTCCTACGGTATTCTATGAAGGGAACGTTTTGAAAATCGATGTAAGTTTTACCGGCCACAAACGCCATTGATTATTTCGGTGAGCTTACAAGCCTACATTGTTGTGCATGTTAGAGCTGACCGTGCTGTATTTTTTGTCCTTGAAGTAAAAAAACCCAAAAAAAACAGTATGAGTGAATTTATTATGGTCACATTGGTCTTATCCTACCCATACATGTAAAAGGGTATCATTCTTCACATACAGATGTATTTACATTCATTTTTTTAGGTTTTATGAATCATTCGGAAAGTACTGAGTATTTTGAAAATACAGAGACTGCCCATTTCTGAATCTAACCTTTCCAAATATGAAATTGTTATTCTCTCTTTAAGGCAGAAGTTGGCCATTTTGAATTTTAGCATTTTGCCTTCGGATTATTCACTACGATTTTTTTGTATGTCAACAAGAATACCTTTAGGGGTACGATTCAAGTAAAACGGCTTTTGTTGCGATTTGTGAGAAAGCAAGTTACATTACTCGACTTGCCCCCAAACATTACAGTAGCCTGATTACCGACAATATTTCAATACTAATACCGATAATTGAGCTCGACTGCTGATGGCAGAAACACTCAGCCGCAGCGTACACATTTATTTAGTTTCTAAAAGTATGCGTTGTTCACTGAGCCTTTGTGTTTATGTGAGAACCGGCTTTGCTAAACCTGCTGATCTGGGAACAGAAGCTGAAGCAGGAGACGAGTGGAGAGAGGAGATGTTGTGCTCCCTGTAACATTATGCCAGAAAGAGAGATCTTTTCAGAGTTTATTTTCGTTCCGTGATGAGGAGAATGCACAGACAGGCAAACAGCAAGAATGTCACACTTTGCATTTTTTATATCCAGATTACTAAACAAACATACAGACAAGAAAGCAAAAATGAGAAGAATCATCAACCTTCATTTCGAAGAAACTTTGGGGGCATACTGTCACTAGCCAATCGCACGCTTGACAGCACAGTTTGGATTTTAATTACACAAGAAATACAGAAACTCTAAGAAAATCAGAAAGAAGGACCCCTTCTCTCTTAAATAAAATACAATATTGCAGGAAAATACCGGATAAATATCAAATAGTCACGTTTCAAATTATGAACTGTACTTTGAATCGGAACAGAATGAAAGCACATTCAGATCCCGTCGAACATAAGATGAAATAATACAATTCCTGTTAAAAGACAAAGTGATGCAGATAAGTTATGTGTTCACACAACTGCATCACCCAAAAAAAAAAAAAAAAAAAAAAAGGCTCAGAACACCAGTCTCAATATGCCCCAAAGTCTTCTTCGTGATCTTCACGCGGTTCATTTAAAAAGTAACAAAAGGCTGCGAATAGTTAACTTTGCAGTACAAAGAATGAAATCAAATGTACACTCAACACAACGTCCGTACCGTTTTCACTCATGCTTCATGCATGATGACTCAGACGGGTCAATAACGCCACTTCGATGGGACCGATGATGATTTACAGCCAGTTGAGACGTAAGATGATGGATGTCACACAGTGACAGGATAGATGAAGCCACACACATTATCGGTGTGCTCTAGCAGCTGAAGCTAGGCTAGCTAGCTTAAGGACAGCCAATGGAATGTAGGGGAGGGGGGGGTCAAGCGCCAGCCACTGAAAGTCCACACTCTGGGCCAGTTTTGGCACGGTCAGCAGAATGTCGATAATGTACGCCCTCTTATCTCAGCATATTAATCTATGTCTATGTCCTACGGTTTAATACCTCAGGTCAAACGTCCGTTACTGTTCCCATGTGATACGAGAGAACCGTCCTCCGTCTGATCCGTCTCAGGAAGTTCACTCACTGACACAAGTACTTTCAAATCTATTTTTTAGCAGCAACAAAACATTGATTTCTTTTTGCCACTCGACTACTGAAGCTATAAAGACCTCGAGTATTTACAGTTCATCATAAAAAAAAGAGAATTTGTGTGACAACTCGACCTCCTACTGTAATGAAACGTCCAGTGCAGGGTGGTCCGACTGGAATAAGCACCTTTCAGGAACTCAAAGAGGCGGCTCCCTCAAGAAACCTATAAACTACAATTCACACTGTGAAGCTGCTGATTCTTAGGAAGAAAGATACGCCGTAAAGGCCTAACGGCTACAGATTGTCAAACCCTTTAAAAAAAAAAAAATAAAAAAAAAAAGAATTGGTCGGACATTTGTGACGTCTAGTTTCTTAGCAAAATCATGAAAGTCTTAAATGCACATTTGTAAAGGCTCTGGCAGCTGTGTTAGCTATCACTATGAACTACAAGGGTTAAAGAATTAGAATTAGTCAATAAAATGCAGCAAAAAAAAGAAAAGCACTGAGCTTTAGATCTACCGGGGAAAAGTCAGGGGAACACTTTTCTGTTTTGACACTTAAAAGCTGTCGATACATTTTGAACGTGAAGCTAAATGTTTAATTGCGGGTGTAGCCGACTAAAGGGAGCGCTCCGCCGGTGCTGCTCCAGTGGCCGGGGCTTGGCACAGAGACACACGAGATGTTTCAGACATCAGGAGCCGATGATGGATGGAGCGCAGATGTACCGGGCATGGATGACGGGACAGAGCACAGGATGGATACGAGATGAGACGACAACACGCTAACAACAGGTGATGATGATGATGATCATGATGATGGCGATGCATAGGCGGCGAGCTGCCGGGCCGTGACACCACCTTCCCGTCTGCAGCTCTTTTTTTAAATTTTATTTCTTTTTTTCTTAAGATGGAGCCTAGAGCGGTTCGGAGCAGAGGAGGTGTTCTCTGGTTTTTCGTGTGCAGCAGCCTCGCTCTCCTTTTCCAGAATCGGAGTTGATGGAGGAGAGATAATGGAGGGGCAGAGTGTAAACACCACTGGCAGAGTCATGAGATGTGCATAAGCGTACCGCTGCATGTTTTTGGAATGGAGGCACTGGCCATGAACGAGACCCACACCGCATGCAAGACCGGGCCGCTTGTGTTGCGAACGAAGCATGTTTAAGGCCAAGGAGGACCAATATTGATACATCCAGCTCTCCCCTCTTTCACTCCCCACCCCCCCGCTCTCCTCGACTAAAAGCCAAAATTGAAAACGATGCGGTCCTCGAAGATGGCGATGAGCAGCATGATGCTGAACCCGGTCAGCAGGCCCAGGTTCTGCAGGACAAAGTGTCCCAGCTGGCAGCGCTTGTGGTCCTCGCTGTCCCCGTGAAGCATCTCTGGCAGCTGTGAAAGAGACAAAGTGACCAGTTGGAATCAGAGACTGACTTCCTGGAATTAGCGTTGCAGATCAGTAGAGGGAGGCAGCGTGAGCTGATGTTGTTAGGGAGGGGGGGGGGGGGGCAATTATCACTCTGGGGCTGTCGATGGGAGCGCGCCAAACTCACCATATCCACCAGAGCCACGTAAAGGAACATGCCGGCCGTGATGGCGAAGATCCAGCTGGTGACATTGTGTGTGTACTGGCCCACGGCGGTGCCAATCACCATGCCCACGTAGGCCATGAGGGCGGACAGCAGATTGTAGAAGATGGCCTGCTTCACTGACATCCCGGCTTTCAGCAGCACCGCAAAGTCACCTGTCAGCCAGGAGACACACACGCACATATACACACAGTCATTTAAACACCATTTAAGCAACTCCCATGCACCCGTCTCTTATCCTGACACTTGGGTACCCGGCCTCTGTGTCTTGAGTGATTCTGTTCGTTACACAAGTTGTTTATGAAAGGTTAAAAGCAACAGAAACTGAAAGTTGGTGACAGCCATGTGTCCGATTCCTGTTTACGCTTCGCAAAGCGACGCTGCACTTTGCAGGCGCACAGAGCCCCTCTGTGAATAGCTCGGCGCTCGTCACGCTGTGTTTGTTTTTTAATCTTTTTTTTCTGTTTTCGGTCTATTCTGCCGCTGCCTTTCGGTGACGAGGTGAGCACGTTAGAAGCGAACTCTCTCCACACATCCGCCTCCGTTATCTGTCTTCGAGCAGGTGGGAAAACAGACCAGGAGCCTATCTCTCTCTCTCTTTCTCTCTAAGAAATATGTCCTTAACTCCCTTCTGATGCGCTTATGATTACACATGCACGCCGTAGCCTCTCTACCCTCTTCAATCATAGCCGGGGCCAAATGCAGGAAGAGGCCCAAGTCTCAGCGGAAACGCCCTGGATTTGGAGAGAGAGAGAGATGAATACTGAGAAGGGGGTGGCCTACATTTCCTGCACTGTGTAACAAGCGGCCTCTTTTCCTGGCTAATTACCTCAATGAATATATTACCACTCTGCTCTCATCCATCAATCAAATCCAGAGAAAAAGGGTGGAGGTGGAGGGGAGAAATTAAAGAGAGACACGCCTAACTTCAATGGACTTTTTTTTCTTTTTACGTTTCCTGCCTCCCTGGTTCCAAACCGTCCGACAGTCAGACACGGCTGCCGCCGCCTCATCTACCGCAATTAACACACCCATCACTGCCAATTAGTTTCACTCTGGGTGGTTAAAGAACCCTCATAATCATCATCTTTGCCATCCAGCTGCCTGGCGGGAGGGGGGGGGCGGCGGCGGCTTTTGTGTCGAGGAGGAGCTGAGAGGTGCACTTGTCAAACTGCTGGGTTTGTCTGACGAGCCGGCCCTACAGGGGTGAAGGCGCGGCGGCAAGTGCCGCTGAAGAGCGGGTTTGCCGAATCAACATTAAATGTGAAAAAAAGAACACGGGGGCGAGAGAGAGAGAGAGACTGATCTCGCAAATCTTAACGTGCCGCTTGAGACAGGCGCAGTCAACCATCTGGAAAACTCGAGTGCGACTGAGTCGAAACGGAGACAAAAAAAAAAAAAAAAAAAAAAAAGCATGTTGGACCAGAATCAAAGCTCCTCTGTGCGATCCTGAAGCCTCACAGATGACAGCCAGTGACTGCAGATTTCTTTTTGGCAGTTTTTGCAGCAAAACGCGAAGCATCACAGACTTTTAAAGCAGGCGGTTTGCAGCGTTAGTTGAACCCAAATGTGTTTCACCCTCCCCCTTTTTTCCTTGCGTAGACGCTTTTAACGGAGGCAGACGTGAACACGGAGACAACAGAGAGGAAGCTGCTGGTCAACACGAGGGGGAGCAGGCAGACATAACGTTCAGGCTTTTAACCGACGTGGTGGCTCTATTCATCAAGCGCACAAACGAGGCTGCACCAGGACCAGACACATCATGAGCACTGATGTGCTGCGCGTGGGCCCCGTTGTCTGTCTTTCCCCCCGCCGCTCTCTCGCTATAAACAAACAGGCGGAGGAGAGCACTGTGGAGTAAGAAAAGAAAGTAAAATGTTCACCGCCGCCGAGTCAAACTGAATCAAATGGGTCCTTGGAGGGAACGGATTCCAATGCAAATGAACGCACCAGCAGCTGGAGCGCCTTTTGAGGCTGACTGTATTGAACAACGCGCGGCAGGCGCGGTACATCATCCTCCCTGACAGACACGTTGACAGGCCATTTTGCCGCTGTCAGAGGGAAAAAAAAGCCATTAATCAGGCGGGAAAGAAGTACATTTTTCTGGAGTGAGGAGAAGAGTGATGGTTATCGACACCGCCGGGTTTCTTAACAAGTTCCGAGGGACCGGAGAGGGTGTGAGACTCCCTGGGATCATAGTTCCAGTCAGAAAAAAAACGATCCGTTTGGCAGCGATTTAGACACTTATCATTACGCGAGCGAACTTGCGAAGCCTCCACAAAGCGCCTTTGTTCTATGTGTTGGATAAATGAGGTGTGCCTGGTGTGAGATGAGAAAATAACTTGTTGTGTTTGACACTTTTCTTTTGTCGCACTCCACTTACCAAGTTCATGAGGTAATTCGTGGCAGAAAACAGCCACTGATGTGCTGATGCCTCCCGTCACGTTTGCGCTGAATGCTGCGCCTGTAGACAAATGTTGGGGAAGGGTGGGGTTAGGCCTGTTCTCTGCTGAGCTGAAAGATTAAAGATTGATGCCACTTCTGTGTCTGTTACGCTACATGTGAAGCTAGAAACAATCAGCTAAGCATAAAGACAGGAAACAGGGACAGCTAGCTTTAGCCGGGCACAGTGACTCCTTGCTCCGAAACACAACAAGTTACTTTAAGGGAGAGGTACGTAGCTTGACACATAAACTCAACACGGCACTTATGGAAGGCCACTGAATGAGGCTGAAAGCTGATGGAAGAATTCCAGTAAGTGACCGTAACTTTTGTCAAACATCTGTTAGCGGAGTAACAGGGATTCCTCACTTATTCATTTGTAGAATAACCAACCAGAACCTCTTACCTATAGCCAGGCCGTCACTGAAGTTATGCATGCCATCGCCCATGATGACCATCCAGGCGATGCTGGCTATGCCGGCATCCTTCATCTCCTGGTCGGAGTGGCAGTTCCCGCCGTGGGAGTGACCATGGCCGTGCGAGTGGCCGTGCGAGTGGCCGTGCGAGTGGCCGTGGTGCTTGGCCTTGCCCCCGTTCTCCTTGGTTGGCGACTGGTGGTCTTGTCGGGCATTCTCCGGCGCCAGCGGCGTCTTGTTGGTGGGGGAGTCAGGCGTCCGCAGCTCCGAGATCTGCGTGTCGTTGTGGCCGTTGTCGCAGGAGACGGCGGTGTTATCGGGGTCTGTAGGAGACGGAGGGGGAGATGTTTAGGGCCAAAATAAAAAAGCACCCCGTGAAGGAGCTGGTGGAGGCTGCGAGCTGCCGTGAAGGCTTCTTACCTTCGCTGAGTGGCTTCAGGTGCAGCCACTCCGCATCCGAGCGCCGATTTAATTTGTGATCGGACAACTTCCGGCCGATCTTGCCCTCCTCGCTCGCCTTCTTCATGTCCTGTGAGCAGCATGAGACACACGATTCTATATGCTCTGTCCACGGAAATTCAATACGTCATACATTTAAGCAGCTGCTAGTCTTACCCTGTGGTCTTTGTAGTGCTTAAACATGCCGATGCAGTGTTCGATGATGAAGAGGAGGTAGATGCCGGCCAGCGCCGTTAGGCCCTTCCACACTCCGTCAAAGTCCGCTATTAGATCAATTTCTTTATCCGGCTTATGCTCGCTGTGGTCGTGCGGCTCTAGGGACTGTGGACGAGGAGAAAAACGGAGGGATATTGGGGGGTGTTAATAAAGTCTGTCCCACACTAGCCATACATTTAAAAAAAAAAAAAAAAAAAAAAAAAAAAAGTTCATGACATGATGGGTTCATCAGGAATTCAATTAAATGGTTTTTTAAATGCTTTTGTGTGACCCTACATATTTACAGTTCTATATCAATCATAAAAAGTGCAATAATGACATCAGCTGAGCTACAAATACATACAATTTGTAATGAAATGAAATACAAGAAATCCGGTGAGTTTGAAGACAATGAAACAGAAACATAACTGAATATATAAACCTGCTGTTAGATTTGTGACCCCTGTTTGATTTTCATACAATCCCTTTACATGGTGGTCAGAACCGTCTTAAACTCATTCGATTTGTGTGAATAATACACCAAACAGCAAGTCAGCTATTCATGACATGGTGGTGCATGAAGCTGTGACGAGTGATGCGAGGCAGCCCTGACATGTCACCTCTGCTGGCCCGCTATTGGCTGATATAGTGCTTGGGTTGATGATTGTAGTCTGTGTTTTACACGAGTCGGCAAAGAAGAATCCCACTAAGACGTTTAGTTTTTTTATACAAAACGTTTTTACTTACTTTTTACCAACAATTTCTCTGGAGTTTTATAAAGACCAGCCCTGATTTTTTTTCATACATATACACAAAATGATTGATGTCGTCCATCTCTGTGGGTGTGACAAGAGCAGCATCCTGTAAAAGTACTCACGTGGGGCAGCAGATGAAGGAGGGCGTCACCGCTGAGCGTGCCCACGGCCAGCGCCACCAGGAAGGTGAGCAGGAACTTGAAGCAGGACTGTTTGAGGATGGGCACGAGCACCACGCCCAGCAGAGACAGCAGGCTGATGATGGTGATGGACACAAACCCCGACAGCCACACCCACCCTGGACAAGGGGACAGACAAAAGACAAGTCACTCTCCAGGAACAGCCACGGCTCCACCTGCTCGCTGAAGGTATTGTTTCCCTTCCACTCCACATGTGAAGGAAACTATCCCTCAGAGGACTTTCCGACCCGCGCGTCCTTGTGATGACACACGATACCTAAAGCAAGAAATGTGAAGTGACATTTTTCATTCGAGGCCGCAGACGTGAAGCCGAGGAGGAATAAGTCAGAAAAGTACACTATCATTTAAAACTGTCAGCCGAGGACACGTATCAAAACAGCGTGCCAGAGACGGCGTGAGGCAAAACTTCACGATTCTTTCGTCACAGAGGACGGAATGTTTAGTGTCGTATGAAATTCAATGTCAAGTCAAAGCTGGCGGCGTGTTTGCTAAAGCGGCCCCTCGCGGCTGGCGTTCATTTATAGCACCGGAGCGCAGTGTGCGTGTAATGCACATCTTACAGACAATTGACTTCTGTGAGGCGTTTCAGGGGAAAGTCACAACAAGGTGTACATTCAGAAGTGAAAGGTAAAGCAAATATATGATCCTCACAGATTGAGCTGGTTATTAATGATTAAAACATTTAAACTTAATCGCTGGCTTTGTCAAGATCAAAGGGTTTGACCATTAATTATGTCCCGATACATTTTGTCAACATATTACATAGTGGAATGTGATTGGTCAAGTCTTGTGTCAACTGATCCTTGAATTATGGTTGTTTTTTTTCTTGCTCATGGATCCCCTTTTGTTGAAGTTTTGTATATCTGTAGAAAAAACAACATTTTTGGCAGATATACTTGTTACTATCATTCTGCTGTTGTTTCAGAATAATGGACAGCCTGTTTGTTGCGTGTAGAGGTGTGTGTGTGTGTGTGTGTGTGCGTGCGTGTGTGTGTGGTGCAGTGCAGTCAGCGGCAGGCCTGCTTGCTTTACGTGGTTGAATTGAAATGGTAGAATTTTTGGTTCTAATTCCGTTTGTCCCTAATTGTAGGTAAAAGGTAAGGAAGTGAAGGGAAATGACCGGGAAGTAAAGGGAAACATGCCTCCCCTGCTGATTTTAGAGAATGGTTCATAAATTGAAAATATAACTAGCGTGAGTGTGAGTGCTCTGATCAATACGTTTATTCTTTCATTTTTAAACAGCAGCCTTATGTCATCGTTATATATATATATATACGATGAATGATCCTTTGTTTTATAACCACATCTTCCCGTCACTGTGACGATTCAACTGTAATATTTGCTGGCGAATCAGGCTCCTTGTCGAATAGTTGACTATTCAGAGCCCCCAGCTCCCTTTAAACTATTTAGCCCTGATATAGCTTAATCCATCTCAACAAAAAGAACCAAAACTGCCATCTAGCCAGAGGGGGAAAATGACTCATAACAGCAGAATCACACTGGCAGACACACTTCCTCTCCTCATCTAATCGGCCCCAGGTGGTGTCGCTTGTGAAGAGATGATCTGAAACATGTCTTACGCCTGATAGAGCGCTCTTTAGAGAGACTGAATCAAGCTGTTACTGTCCCATTACCCAGCTGTAGGATTAAAAAACATTGAAAGAAAAGAAAAATGCCCCCCCCCCCCCCGGCAGCCATCTCCTCACTCCAAACAGGAGGCTGGAGTTCCTCGAGGGGAAATATTTGAACTGAAGAGGAAGGCCCCGATGCTGAAGTGCTGATTACAGCCACTTCGTCATTAGCTTTTGGGAAGCTTGCTACTCAAACCCTGACCCTCGTCGCAGGTTTGCATGTGTCCTCTGACGCCATGACAGAACAAACTGGTGGCATTTGGTGTCTTAATGATAGAGTTCATCGCTATTATTGGATTTTGGATTTGGGGGGATACTGTCCCTTTAAGGGCCAATACAGACCCCTTGACAATGCAGCTGAGCACCATACTCATTCAGGACTCTTTGAGCTCTTTTAATTCAACCATAAGGTGTATTTTATTATATTAAAGCTGTTAATAAAAGCTGTTATATTACCAACAGCTTTCTGAAACTCTTTATTTTTGTACTCGGGGAACTCATTAACCTGACTCGCCAGATGGTTTGCTACACAGAAACCATCTGAGAAGCAGTCATTAGAAACTGTTTGGAAAAGGGCAGGCACTTAAAAAAAATACTTGGCAGGTGATTTGATGAACAATCTGTCAATCAAACTCTTGCCAAAGCCAGTTGGGAGAGGAGCAAAAACATCTTTTCCATTGGAAAAACACCTTCAGTGTTGTTGTTTGGTCTTCTTCCAATGAAGGAATACTCTCCAGTTCTGATATAACTGATGCTATTGCAGCCTCCATGCTAACCTCTTTAGGAGCCGCCACTGTTGTTTTGAACAGTCGCCTCTCCGTGTCAGCGACCTGTCAATCACAAGGTAGCCCCGCCCTAAAGCATACCCTGCTTTATGATCTATGTCACTCTAAATGGGACCATAATTAGCGAAATGAACATCATGCTGTATTGAAAAAGACTGAGAAACTAGAGATGAGTCGCCTCCTGCTGGCCATTAGAAAGAATGCAAGTTTAAGGCACTTTCGCATTGGCTTCACTTTTCACTGGGCGGAACCAGTGAGGACCTCTGCACCAGCATGTAAATGTAACACAGTATTATTGATACGAACAAGAACTTAGAATACAGAAAACAGACAAAAAATATCAAGAAAATAGATTTCAACGCTAGGTTTGCATTTTTGTATATTATATTTGCAGTGTTGCATTTATCCAAGTGTGATATTTCTTTGTATTTTTAAGGCAAAAGCATTTGTGGTCTTTACTTTCTCCTTTTCAAATACATGCTGTTTTGAGCATTTATTTTTGGCACTACTGCTATATTACTGTTTTGCATTCAGGATGTTTTCCGTTTTCTCTGTTGCGTTATTTATATTTAATAAAGACAACCCTCCGACAGGCATTACTGAGTAAAATGTGGATCCAGAATCTGTGTCCCCGCTACGGTTCACCGTGCTAAAATGACCCATCGTCTATAGTCTCTATAGTCAGAGAGACAGTTAATGTAACGGTTACATATTTTAGACCACATATTGATAACAATAATGTGCCATCTGCTGCAGCTACAGCATGAAGCACCAGTTTATCCGCGGTACATTAGGAAGGACGACCTGGACAGGCTGAATCCATTTCCTCCTCACAGATGAGAACGTCTTTAATGACCCTCACTTTCTCCTTCTTTTGTCACCACCGTTTTCAATGTGCTTTACAAAAGTAAAAGGCGCTGCGGTTGACCGCTTTCTTATTTGTCGAATCGAGCGGAACAACGCGGGACCCTGAGAGGCAACTGTACATCAGCCGGACCCCCGCAGGTCCTTCACGCTCACACAGCTCATCTACTTCTCTCCCTCTCTCATTACCCCTCAACGCAGTCCTGGTTTGGTGTGGAGGTAGGCGAGTGGGGCGGCGGAGGAGCGACGGACGCCGTGATGAGGGAATCGAAGAGAGGAGAAGGAGACCCACTGGTCTGTGTCTTCTCTCCAATTACGCATCTCCTGTGAGCCGTGGCTCAGACAAATGGCCCAGGGTGTCGCTAAGGCACTCCTAATTGGCACAGCGCAAAGAAAAGGGGAGGGGAGTGGGGACCGGAGAGAAACCCGGCTGCAAATTTCCCGAGGTCCCCCGTGGATGTCGGCGGGAGGTAAACGAGAGGTAGCTTCGCGGCGTGTGGCGATGCCTACGGTTGACTCATGGTGCACAATCGCTGACAATCTAGCGGCTCTAGTTTCCCGCTAATGAGGAGCCATTCCTGCCCCTTTGACTTGCTCGTGCTGCGTTGCTCGTCGTCATTACCATTTTTATGACTGTTTTCAGTGGTGACACACTGCAGCCTGAGGCTCATGTGACACAGGTGTCTCCGGAGGGGAGTGTGTGTTTAATAATTAAAGATTTAAGAGGGCGTACGGTTTGGGATTTCCTCCAATCTCACGGTTGAACTTCAGTACCTGCTGCTTTGACAGTTTAATTCTGTCCTAAAGTGTTCACAAAAGCTGTTGCAGCTACATACATATACAAATATATTTTTCTCTTTTAGTCATAAAAATGTCCCTTTCTACGTCTAATTAAAAATAAATCAGATGCAGAACATCTTAATGCGCCAAAACTTGCCATGTTGTTCACAGCGACAAACGTCTTACCTACTTTGCATAACGTAAAGGAAAACTAAAATCCAATTACACTGCAGGCAGAAAACAGAACATGAGAACCTGCCAGGTGTGAATGCGGCATGGCCAGATTGACTGTCTCAATCCGCAGTGCATTTTCATTGCAGGTGGTCACATGTTATCTGCTCCTAGAGATTTACATGCCGGACGCACACTAAGGAAAAGCGGCCTTTTCTATTGTTTTTTGTGTGGCCCTAGTTTGATTTATAGCCCGCTTTTATGGCTCCATGACCTTTATTTCACAACCTGTAACTCATTAACTTTAAAAAACACTGCAATTTTATATTTTACATTCTCATAAACTGCCAAACACTGCGAGGTCCCAGAGCAGCTTTTTTACGCTGACCTTCATTCTTTATAGCTGGTCTCTCGGTCTCGTTCCGAGGTTTCTTTTTTAAACATCATTAATTCAAAGGATTTGGAACACAAACTGAAAGAAAAGATCGCTGCAAAAAAGAGGTCTCTTTTTCAACAGAAGTGAGAAAAGAGAGAAAAAAAAAAAAAAAGTGCCTTTTGTAGTTTCATACACATGATGGGGCCACTCGTTCGCTGCATTTATCCAATTACAAAGGCCACACGTAATAGCTAAGTGCAGCAGTTAGGTGAGTGAATGGTCCTGATTTAGAGCGTCGGTCCCATTATGTGGGATGCTCTATTAAGAGCCTGAAGTTATGGCAAATTGGCCGCCTATTCATTCGAACATTGACTTCCTCCAGTGAATATGGCCCAAAAACACACGGTGACATGCCTCGCAGACTTTTCCACAGCTTTGGAAATACACTCGCTGCCTATAGACTCCCACTGAGGGCCATTAGCTGTGCGTTACACTCACTGGGACTTGTGATTGACCGAAAGAATCAATCAATTCATAATTATGCTAAATACTTCCTGCATCCGCAATCACATCTAAATACATCTTTTCTCTACTCGTTACATGGTTGTTAGAGTAACAATCGCTACATCACGGTCCTGGCTGTTAGAACCAAGAGAGAGATGCTGCTGACCCCCCCCCCCCCATTTAGTCACAGACTGCTCCTGTAGACTGGCTACATTTAGCCGTTTCGCTATAGCGCGTGTGTACAAAATGTGAACAAGAAGCACGATTTCCCGACAGTTTCGAGAAACCTTTCCGAGTATAAACAAACGCCGATCGTACCGAGATAAGTCCGTGGTAGTGTGTGGTTTCATACTCGGCGCAGCGCTATTAAGGTCAAAGAGCGCGGCTAACAACGAAGAAAGAAAAAAGAAAACAACCTCTTTCATTATGAGACCGTGCCAGTGTTTTGTGTGACTGTACAGCTCGAGAGCTGATCCGACAGTGAGCCGTCTTCATCTGTAAATAAAAGTCAAATAAGCATTGGTGTTGTAGAAATACAAGAAGCTTGAGATTAGCAGCGGGTCTCAAATTACTTAAATAAGCTCGCCCTGACTTTCAATATAATGTCTGTTTGTACACTAATATCTGTGTGCATGCTACGCTCTGGTGAGTGTTCACTGCTGCTCTGGATGGCAGAAAATTGAGAGATGTGCTACTGAAAATGAGAAGAAGAAGAGGAAAAAAGAAAAAGAGCGGGGATACTCATGGCATTAGGGTTACAATACCCAGTTCACTTCAGTTATTATCACTATAAAATATAGCTTTATTATTTCAATAAACACTCTATTATGCAGGACTGCCACTCCTCCCCAGGAGAGTAGCTCCAGGTTATAGATCCTGATAGCATCCCATTATAAAGCGTCCCTGTGGTTTCCTGCTTATGGCACCAGATAAGACAGCAACTTACAGTTGACATCTTTATCGCTTCCATAGACCAAATTCTTGCCGCTATACAAGTTACTCTATAGGGGTGCGAGGAAATATTGATACGCCCGAGTATCGTGATGAAAGGTTTTGTGATTCTGTGGGGATATCGATTTTGAATTAATCGTTTACATGCAAAGACAAAGATGCTTTCAGATTGCAAAACACAAGCCGTGCTGTGATGTGGGACGTTACAGGGACTGCGATATTTTGACTGCACTTTACTCAGATTTGATGCATATTTATATGACAGTTTTCTTAAAGCTAGATTAAAAATAAAAAAATGTATCGCAATATATCGTATCGTAACCCCTGTCTCATGATACAAAACCCTTACTTTCATAGAATATAATTCTGTTCAGTGTTTCAATAATATCTCACCTTCTCAGGGTTCTATTTCCCTCTTCAAAGGTAAAGTCACTGTCTGAGGTACTCACAGTCATGATGATATCACTGCGTTATTGGCTTCTGACAAGGGAACAATGATCTGCAGTAAACAAACACGGCGGGTGGATTGTGTTCCTAATGCGATTACGTACTGATGGGTTTAAAGGAATCGTTACTTAATCCATTGTGCAAACAAAGTTCACTGTGACTCTGTTTGGCCACAATATCGGTGAGGAGATCACACCATTATCCAAGACTGAACACTGGCAATATCTAATCATTACCTTTGTGTTGCTCTGCTCTGTGGAGAGCCATTGATCTTTAAAAGCCACGTGAAGCGTAGAAAAAAGCTGAAAGGATAATGTTCAGCAGTGCTTTTCCAACTTATGGCAGCCCAGATTCTTTTGTTTTACTACAGTCAAAAGAGCGTGAAAAAGAAAACTGGGCACAAACATGACAGAAAAAGGGTTTTGCTGAAGAAGAGTGGACTGATGCTGGCGTGCGATTTATTATATGCAGAACAATGGTTAGGTCAAGAGCTGCAACCGCAAACCCTCAACATGAATAATGAGATAAAAACCTTCACATTGTCCTTCATATTCTCACTGAAAAACACGTCTTGCCTGTAAAACAGAGGAATGAGAATATCCACAACAACAACAACCTGACAGAGAAAGAGTGCAGTCTGCTGGTCGGAGCCTTATTTGGGTTGGAGTAAAACCCTGAGTGAGGTATCCAGTGCTTTAGACGGGGCTCTTAGAAGTCTTTTCAGTCAAAGTGGACTGGATCGATACGAAACTTGGCTCTTACCGGAACTGACGGGCTCCAAAGCTTCCTGCTGCACATCCATCTGGTGGTAATGGCGGATGCAGACACGGCTATCTATCTGGTAGAGCAGGGCAGGACACAGGTAGGTGAACTGGCTGGGGGAGATGAGCAAGTCGGGATGCAGGCCGTAGTAGGTGAGGAGCTGAGTCAGGTTCAAACACTGGAAGGAGAAGGAGCCGGTACAGTATTAACAGTAGAAACCACTGGCTATGTAACAAGTGAAATATTGACATTGGAAAAACAACAACCTCCACCCAAAATGTATCCTTTGCATTTCAAATACTCACCTCTGTGGCTGTAAAAGCAACGTGACTGTTTAGAACATTCTGAACTATCATGTGTGATTTCTATTCAACACATATCTTAATATAACTGTGTTCTATGACTGAAACGCAGGTTGAAGTGGAGCTTCTCTCTGGCCAGTGGTCTCAAACAAGTCCTACCTCCTCATGCTGATGAGACAATCCTTCTAGGTGGCCAGACAAGACGGGGACTGGCAAAGTAGGGGGGGTGGCGGGCCCTCCCGGTGCTTCTCTCTTATCTTTATGAGAATGGCTGTGACCGTGATCGGATTGACGGTCACGGTCGTCGGACTGTGCTACGCGAGGAGAAGCGGTTCTGTTTCGCCCTCGCTGTCCTCGGACCCTCGGCTTCTTGGGCCGACTTTCTCTGGTGGCGGGAGAGGACTGTGGCACTTGGGACGGCTCCAACTGGGGAGAGGGAGGAATGTCCGTTACTGTCTGCACTTCGGGGACGTGATTGTGGTCATGGTGATCGCCGTGGTCGTGAGCGCCGTGGTTGTGGCCGTGACCGCTGTGATCGTGGTTGCTGTGGTTGTGAGCACTGTGGTCATGGTCCTTGTGGTCATGAGCACTGTGATCGTGGCCGCCGTGGTCGTGAGCGTTGTGGTCGTGGTTACTGCGAGGTTGAGAAGACAGGTCCTTTTGGTCGGAGGTCATCTGTACCTGCTCGTGTTTGTGCTCTTTGTCATGTGCGTGATCGCGGTCATGATCGCGCGTGTCCTGCACATGTCCATCAGAATGTTTATGGTCATCGGCCTTGGCGTGATCATGATTGTGTTCCGCGTCATGTTTATGCTCATGCCCTGTCGGTGCACCAGCAGCTGGAGAGGCAGCCGTGGTGTGCTGAGAGCAGCTTGTGGGAGCTTGTTCTGTGTGTGGATGGTGGGAGCCGGGCTTGTGATGCGGATGGCCGTGCTCGTGGTTGTGACCCTGGCTGTGCTCTTCATCGGCGGACGAGTGCGAGTGAAACCCCTCCTGCATATCCACCAGGTCGAGGTGAGCCACGTGGTCGTGGCCCAGCTCCTCGTGATCCACATCTACCACCTTCACTTCACCCAGACCCAAGCTAAACAGCATGCTCTGAAATCCCTGGAAATCCAGCCGGTCTTTCTGGCCGTAGCGCCCGAACAGCTGCTGGATGTAGAAGCGCTGCTCCTCCTCTAGATTCTGCCCTTGGGGACCTTTGGAGTCTGGGGACGAAGTGGCTCCTCTCACGTATGGGGCCTCGGAAATCTGCAGGTCGCTGTGGGTGTGGTCGGCATGGGGATGTCCGCCGTGCTGGTGGCTGTGCCCGTCCCCATGGCAGTGGTTGCACTGATGGAAGAGGAAGGCGAGCACGCACAGGAAACAAAACTTGGTGTGCACGTGGACTCGCATGGTCCCCTTACTTCTGGTCCCCTGCCAAAACAGGAAAGTAACAGAAGCGGAATTTGGATCAATATTCTTTTGCCAGTCATATAAAAATAATTATAAAAACAGCTTAAGAAACGAAGTAAACATCATTCATTGTATACGCGGAGTTTCCTGCCCAGTGCACCACTAAATTAGAATTTCTAAACTATTTCATAAATTAATTTAATTTTTTTTTTTTTTTTTTTAGCTCTTTAGCATTTGTTTGTATGTCTTTAGAGTCACAATCACATTTTGAGCAGCTGCTCCATACGTCCTCGCTTAGTTTTAAGGACCATGGTGACCGTGTCACTTTAAAATGATTGGACTGATTAATAACAGCAACTGTAACTTGGTGTCCTGTTTGTCGTGTTTATCAGCTGAGTAAGACATCAGTAAGACAAGTCAAATGTCTGTTTTATCATCCGATTGCTCAAAAGCCTCTGCTGCCTGGACCTGCCTAAAATATCAGCACATTAAAAGTTGGACTGAAATATTACAATATTCATATTATCCACATTGATACCGGCCAAACTGAAGAAAAAAAAAAAAGAAGGCGCAGCTGCTGAATGTTACAGTATATTCTTACATGTTTACGATAAAAATTTGTCAAAGTAAACTTAAAATAATAATGGGTAAAATATTTTATGTGGACTCGTTTGTTTTTTGTTTAGAATAATCATGGTGATGCCAGTAAATCAAATCAATATCGGCCCTAAAGAAGCCCCAGAAGAGCTTCCCACAGTGCAACAGGGTCTGCGTAATCATAAATTACAAGCCTTCTCACCACACATAAATACTGCAGACAAACCCCTTAAGCCGCTACCTTTAGCTTAGCATAAGAGATCCAGTACCTGAATCAGGGAGCCTTCCGGAGCAGACTGTCTACTGTGAATTGTGAAACAAATAGCTTCCCCCCCCCCCCCCCCCACCCGACTCTAAAAAAGGCCTGAGGCAGCAATATCATCCCAGTCAACTGATCCTCATAAGGTCTCTGGTGAAGCCCGTGGGTGGTTGATGCGTGAGGGTGGAGGAGGAGCACAAAGAGGTCAGAAGAGGAATACTGTCGGACAAGATGGTAAAATTGCGCACAGCAGAGACCAGACAAACGCACTAACACAGAGGTCCTTTGGCAGCCAGCTTGTTAGCAATGTGTGCACTGGATTTACAGCAAGCACATCTTGAGGGAATAGACTTGTGTGTGTTGTGCAGACTACATGTACTGGGCTAAATGTTCAGAAACAAATGAGAGATGCTCCACACAGTTGTCAAGGCTGCAACGACAGATGGCACACTGTGGGCAACAACAAAAAACAAAAAGAGCCCAGTTTCTTTTTATATAGCGACTAGAAGAAGTTCCACAACAAAAAACTAAGAAGAGAGGATACGGATGACTTAAAAAACATTACACTTCATTTTACAAACAGAACCCATTGGTGACAGACTTACAATCAGCTGTTGTTTTTTTTTGGTAAAGGGTGAAAAAAAGTAGACAATCCGACAGAAACATTTGAATCCTCAACAATACAGTGTTTGTATTCATCCCACTAAACTAATTTACAGAGAATACCATTCAAAAAGATTCGGCTCGGCTAAAACAAAGCCCTCATTCATTGTGTAGAGCCTTGATCAAGGTATAGACGACATCAACACCTTATCAGCTCATGACTATTAGCAAGTTATGGACTTTCTTCACTCCATATAACCAGATCAAGAACGTGTGTAAAAGCCGTCTTTGGTATCAGCATTTTGAAAGTGTGTCGGTGCTTAATATAATGTCATATTATGGGTAATGTTTTTTTATTGTTATTGTTGTAATGTTTGATTATAGCCGACACTGACATTTCTGCACAAACTACATGATATAAAACTTCAAAAGGCCGTGAACGAATCAAACATTTCAAAAATCCACGACGACTCAAAAAAAGGTCCGACCTCATTTCTAAGTTATGTTCAGAAACGGGAAGCGAGGCTACTTACCACGGCGTGCCCTCGGATGGCTGGTGTGTGAAATTAAAGTGTGGCCACGGAGTGAATGATGCTGCTCTGACTCAAGGCTGCAGACAGCTAAGTGTGACTACGAGCCTACTTCACGGCTGTCTACAAGACAGTGTTTATAAACATGAGGCAGCAGTGACCTATGAACCTTACGGCCGATGGAGGAGGGGGGGGGCAAAACCAGGACCTATTCCTAAGAGCACACCCTCTTAGCGGCAACAGAGCCTGCTGTGTTTTCCTGATTGGAGTCTTTGTTGTGCTTGTTGTTTGGAGGAAACAAGATCATGTCTATTTAGTATGAGAGTTCAGTCGTGTGCTGCACAAACCACACAACCTGTTGAGTAAGCATGACAAACTCATTTTGCAGTGAAAGTGGAAACTGTTTTTTCCCCTCTAAATTGATATTGAATATCACCTTCTTTACTGTAAACATTTACAACTTTATATTGTAATAAATGACAAAATATACCTAGTGAGCTGCACCGCAATATGCACCACTTGTTTGTGTCCGTTAAAGGGATCTTAATGCAGGAAACAGCATATTACCGAAACTGATTGGCTGAGCTGCCGGTGATGTAATCACCGTTTGTTTCAGCACAACAAGACACCTAAATAATCCCATCACTGCGCTGCGATAACACGGTAACTCACCGTAATACGTCTCCTCCTGCTTGGCCCCCAGTCCTGACGCTACTGTATGAGGGGGGAGGGGGGTGGGGGGGTTTCCAACTCGTCTTAAAACGTGCACTCTGGAAAAACATCAAAGAGGACAGACAGGTGAAAATTGGGAATCACGCGGACAGAATTTTTACGCGACAAAAGGTCATGTGACGCAGTGCTCATTCTGCCACAAGAGGTGAGTAATGTGACGACCTCTTTCTTACCAGATTACATTTGTGACATTTCTCCTCACCGGGGAATCATGGCAACTGTTATACATGTATCAGAGCAGTCTACGCTTGATACTTAAAGTTGTGGGACCAGCCTACGGTGCCTTCAAGGGCTTTTCCTGAACAATCAGTTTAAAAGATAGAGACTCGACGTGCGAAACACAACCCGGACTGAGAATGATTATCAGCAGTTTGTTTAGCAGTGTTATAGGAAAAACACTTATTAAAGGCAGGTTTACAGACATTTTGAGATTGTTTGCTTTTGTAGTGTTTCAGTCCTTTTCCTGCAGCCACTACTACACCCTACTCGCCCTACCCATCCATCTGCATAATCTCAACAAGGGTTCACCATATAAAGGGTATGCATAGTCACTGTTTATCTGAGGACACCTCCCTTACGTTATGCCCAGGTGGCAAAGGGAAGTCAATACTGAAGCGCCTTACAATTGCATTCTTTCTAATGGCCAGCAGGGGGCGTCTCTTCTGGTTATAAAATAAGTCTGATTGTGTAGAAGTCTATGAGAAAATGACTCTACTTCTCTCTGGATTTGTTCCCTCAGTAAACATTGTAAACATGAGTTTATGGTCTCAATCGCTAGTTTCAAGTCTTCTTCAATACAGCATGATGTTCATTTAGTAAAGTATGGTCCATTTAGAGTCAAATAGACCATAAATTGACATGTTGCTACTGCAGTGTTCGGTCTGGAAGTTGTCATTGTTTTCGTCTTATAACTTTAACTGTTTTCAGCTCATGAAAGTTAATTTTAACGTTTTTTGGGCTCCACCCTCTCGTGTCATTTGCGGTTCCAAAAAAAGATGACGACTGCCAAAAACCGAGATGGCAACGACCAGAATGCCAAACTCGAGGCTTCAAATGGCAGTCCACAAACCAATGGGTGATGTCACGGTGACCACCCCCACCTTTATACAGTCTAAGGTGATGCCCCACCAAAGCGCATAACAAAGTCACTAAAGCTGTGATACCGACAGCAAAACAGACAAATATCATGGCCATGAAAGTTCACAAGATAATTCAATTGTTTGTTTAATCACACGAGTGAATTTTGGAGTCGATTTGAGCAACAGTATGGCTCAGTATAATGGAACTCTAGCAGGGAAGCCATAGTAGACATACAGCAGGAAATTGATAACGGCTGAACTCCATGTAGCTGCTTCAGTTTCAGGGTCCTGGTATCGCACATGCTGGCTCACAGAGAACAGACGCCTCACTAATGTTAACAGTAACACCTGTGCTTTTCCCACTATGACAAGTCAACATGTCTGCTGCTAAAAAAAGAGACCATAAAGTTTTAAAACGATATTAAATATGCCAGGGAGACTTGTGAGGTCGGCACACTGGGAATTACAAGACAGGCCGAGGAGTAAAAAACCTGTTAGTATGTGGCGAACAGGTGCATTCAATAACCAATTAATGTAACAGCGCTAATGACTTCTCATAGGCTGACAGCAAAACAGTGGAGAAAAAAAACATCCCTGTGTGTCAAATCAAAATGCCCTCACAGTTCACCAGACAACTAGACACAATTGGTAGAACGGCAATTGAATAAACTTAATTCTGAGCTACTGATGTAAAATTCAGTGCTGGGCGTTAATGAATGAACGCATTCATTCATTAATGCCGACATTGACGACATTTTTTTTTTTATTTTTTATTAAGAAGCGGACATTTTTAAAACAAGAACCGGGCAGCGAGCAGTGAACAGCGGTGTTTGTGTGGCGTCTCTCCCTCCCCCCACCCCCGGGTGACGCCCGATCTCGAACCCCTCCTACACTCAGTCACCGTCGGTCCCTCCTGTCCAATATTAAAATACATATTGTCGTGTTTTTAAATAAACATATAAGCACGTGAGAACAAACTGCTCTTAACTGCAACTCTTAGCATAACTTGCCAGGTTCCCTCGCTTCACCTACATTCCCCTGGGTCCTAAGTCCCTCTACTACAGCTTCTTATCACCCTCTATGTACCAACGTACATTTATTACATGTACCACACATATTACGGTAATCAGCCTTGCATATGTGTCTGACCAACATTTTTTTGAGTTTTTAAAGTTTTTTTGTTCGGAATATGTATAATAAGCATATCATTTAGTTATCACTACTGAGAATTTAAAAAACATAAAACATAAAAAACATGATGTAGATAGGTTTGCAGTTTTCAAGGTGTGTATTTCAAATTGCATCTGTTACACACATGAAGATAAAGTTATGAACACCGGCTGAATATCTATTATCAGAATCATTATAACTGTATTATAACTGCTACTGTGTAAAGGGAATACTGCTGTTAAAAAGAACCTTATTTGTTTAAAGTGTTTACAAACCAAATGTTATTGCACTTTTGTTCATATAGCAGTATTTTTAAAACAAAAGTGCACAATACACTACTTTTGAATTCATTATTGAACTTTGCGCATGACAATGCGATTAATCGCAAAAAAATCATTTTTCAAATTGTAATCGTTGCCCAGCACTAGTAAAAATATAAACCCAGCTGTTCAATACTTAAGGTAAACTTTGAAAATGACCTCTTTTGTTGCCTGTAGCAAGCCTATACATTATAAATGTATTAGAAGAGTAAAAGAAGAACTTCATTATTTTAGATTTAAAGTGCCAGTGAAGAAAGACTACAACGTAATGGTACATAATGATACATAAAGCACTTTTACACAACAATAACAAATCTTCTTTAACAAAAATACTAGTCGCTGATCTGAATGTCTGCAGTTCAATTTTGCAGGCTACAATTACCACAGGCATGAACGTGTGACGGAAGCTGAACAGCTGCAGAAACCCGACTGCATAAAACTTTTAAAATTTATGTAGTTTCTTTTACATAATTCCCCCATGTCTTCTCCAGGTTCTTGAAGACAACAGGAGCCCTGTTTTTCTCCCAGGAAAAAAACGGCTTTGGCCCCTAAGCTGTTCCATATGATTCACACGCGACCATACACATCCTTCCCATCGCAGTATAGAGCTGCTGTCTGCAGGGATGGAAAGAACGATACAAATCTACATGCCAAATATATGTCTAAAATAAACTCCTCTCTTTTCTCTTCTGTACAGTGGTTTCAAATGTTTGATGACTCAGCGTTTAGGAAAAATCCTCCAATCAACGATGCAGATTTTGAACCGGCTCTGTGTTACTGCAGCACACGGAGATGAACAGTCCTCCGTAGCTCCGTATCGCGCTGCACTCTAAGCGCGAACATTTTTTCAGCGGTCCAATCAAATGCGAAGGATTTGATTTAAAACAAATATTTAAAACAAATATTAAAGACGCACTGACTTCACTGGGACTTTTAAAAAAATTACGCTGGCGTGCCTGAACTTCCCGTGATTGGTCCACTCAAAAAACATGCTTTCAAGACGACCTCTTGACTGAGGGTGGGCTGTTTGGTCCGGGGGAGGTTTCACACAAATTTTTTTTGTTTGGATAAAACCGAATAGTCCGAAAGTCCGGACCAGACAATGTAGGTGTGACAGGGCCCTTAGGAGGACCGTTGTGTGCTGTTTTCAGCTTCCCCATCAGTGTTTCCTAAGCATTCATTAGACATTAGTGGTGAGGCTTCTACCAGCGCTGGCAGACAGAACATGAGACCATTACAGCTCCAGCTCAACCGTTCTCAAGCAAGTATACATGTTTACAGACATGCCACTTTTGCTGCTGCATGGACAACCACCCATTGCTGCCTGCTGCTTCTGCTGCAAAAGAAAAACTGTGATGAAGGTAGTCATTTTGACACGTCAACCAGCAATCCTTTGATAAAGAGTGGCTATTCTGTGGAATTTGTCATGCGGTAGGTCTCCTGACTCAAAGTACCAGGCATGTTCACGGCGACGTCGAAAGCCTTTTTAACGGCCAGCACTGATAATAGCCCTCATTATAGCAGACTCCGCACAGGTGGCAGGTGAAGACACATGTTTAAGTGCGAGTTGATCTCCACGCACTTGTCGTCACCTGAAGACGTAGATGGATTGATGACCGTATGAAATGTGGCCGTGGGCCACCATGACACGTGCAGGTTCAATGGAAACGGGCCACGACTTCCCTGAACTTCTCTCACTGAGTCAAACGGTTGCACAACAAACATCAGATTCAGGTTTTGCAGTTTTGATTGAGGCCACTGAGTCCGTTTAGACAATGAAAAGATGCTGTGTGTGGAATCAAGGAGCTGCGGTTGAGGCGCAGGTGCATGGCTGATGCTCTGTGGCCTCGTCTGAGACCGAAAAGGCTCGACTAGACACGGACGAGTAAATAGAACGATCAGCTGAGGAGTACGTACACACACACACACACACACACACACACACACACACACACACACACA